CATTGTTCTGTATGTTGCTGTCTTCAAACAGCGTAGGTAAGTCCACTAGCCAAGATAGACATGTAATAGACACCTCATGCCCGACAAGGTTGCACTATGTAAATTTAGTGCCATCATATAATGTGAAGGTTGTCCTCTAGGAGGAACTGGGGAAAGCATCACGGAGGAGGAGATATCTGATCTGAGTGTTGGAGAATGAGTTAGTTGTTTACCAAGCAGAAAAGGGCGGTGGACAGCATGGCACGCCAAGTAAAGGGAACAGCATGTGCAAAAGCAGGGAATGGCGCCCATCGTGACCCTTGTAATTTTGGCAGCTCTTTGCTGATGTCCTCAGGCAGTGCATCTGGACTCCTGGGAATAGCTCTGCAATGTGAACATAGTGACTTCACTATGGGTAGACCCAAATGTTCTAGCATGCTCTGAAATTTACCTCTAGGGAAATAGCTCCAGGAAATTAGGTAGCTACAGAGAGGAAGGATCCAGAAATATGAACATGATGATCTTATACCACAGGCAAGATGTACTTTCCTAGAGGTGCTGGCCAGAAGTACTATTGATATCTCTGTGTACTTGTCTCTTGTATTTTAGAATAAAATGTCCCTGTGCATACAGATACTATGGCAAGAAAGAAAAAGCAGAAGTCAATTTTCTTTAAATCTCCTGAAACAATTTCAAGGCAGCTTTTCTTTTCTTTTTTTTTTTTTTTTTTTTAATTAGCTAATCAAACACACACCCTTAAGGATGGAGGTGTAAGCTAACTTAATCATTTTGTTCTGTTTTGCTTTCTTACTTATTCACACGTTGGGGTAATCCTGAGAAAACAGGGAGCAATGAAAGAAGGATTTTTATTGTGAAATGTTCATTACAACTTACAATTTTAAATATGTGTTTGTATGACTGTGCACGAACGTGAATAGATTTTAGAGCACTTTCTCACATAATATCTAGTTTAATCACCAGAATATCCTGTAATGTTATTATAATTCCCACATTATTATGGTTCCTAAAGACAAATGAAAAATCTGTCATTCAGAAAGCCATGGTTAGGCTAATAAATGTAGAAATCACATTTGACCAAATTTTAGTATCTTCCCTTAAGTATTGGTAATGTACAATTAACACTATTTGGTAATAATCTATTATTACAATTACTAAGACAATGTATCTGGTAGAATCGTATCTTAATGATTTGAAAAATATTGTAGTGGATTTATTAGCCTCAACTGCTTACCTAATCTTTCTAGCTACTCTGTAGAAAACAGTTATCACCCCCCAATTTGCAGGGAGTATAATATATGCAAAATTAAATAGCTAGCATATTGCAAAGCTGGAAATTGAACCGTTGTCTCCTAAATCCAAGTCTGTAGCTGTCCTCAGCAGTGTACTGAATCTCATGTTAATGCTGTTATTATGTTTATTAAATGAAAGAATTTTTTTATCATTATTTTCCCAAATTATACTATTCAGAGTGATTTGAAGATTTAGATCATTCAAATAATGTGTGAAAATTGCTTAGAATCAATCACCTATGCATGGTTGTCTATGACAGATAAAAATGTAAAACAGCCAAAGTAGTCTTAAGAAGTTATTACCAAGTTTCTCAAATAATGTCTCCTTGAGACATTATTTGACAAGACCTTTGGAATAATCATTTGGAATTTTACTTAATTCAGTTGAATTATGTCATCTTGCTTAAACTTTTTAGATATCACTGGTAGTTTTATTGACATTACAATGGAATTAAATGACATTTTATTTTATTTTTAACCATTCTTTAACAATGGCATTTAAATTTGTCATTATTTTTGTTATTGATCTATTCATGAGTGTTGTAATGACTTGGGTTTTATTAAGTGCATCCTCTGTAAAAATTACCTCCTGGGAAAGAAATCGCCAAGTTCTATGAGGTGTGCTCAGAAATATCACCACTTAAGGTGACAGCAAAGTGTCATGCATGCCCACCCAATGTGATCCCTGGCAGACAGATTTCACTGTTTTATATCTTGATTTCTGCATTTAATTCAGTTCTTTTATTGTGGCCTATTCAGCTGCCTCTTGTGCCATTGTGATTTAACAGGGCTCTGCAAGGGACAAGAAAAAGTAAAAACACATCTTCGCCCTTAAACAGTTTATATTTTCATTGGAAACTCGACATATGAAAATGACCAGTTAACTAACAATGTGAAGCTTTACTGTAAAGCTTCCATTTGTGAAGTGACTCTATGGCCAACTCCATCAAAAGAAAGAGTTTTCTTGGAGCCGAGTTAGTATGGGAAGGCTACAGAGAAGAAAGACTCAGGGAGGCAGTGATTAAGCACGTAGACTCTGGCATCTGGTAGATCAGGGTTCAAGTTTTGATTTTACTTTAACTCTTAATTATCTGGGAACTTGGATTCGCTAGCATAAATAGCAACCTAAGCTCTTTCAATTTTAAATAAAGAGATTTATGGAGTAGGCACAGTGGCTCACGCCAGTAATCCCAGTACTTTGGAAGGCTAAGGTGGGTGGATCACCCGAGTCAGCAGTTCAAGATGAGCCTGGCCAATATTACATAACCCCGACTCCCTGTCTCTACTAAAAATACAAAAATTAGCTGGGTGTGGTGGCACCCACCTGTAATCCCAGCTACTTGGAAGGCTGAGGCAGGAGAATCACTTGAACACAGGAGGCGGAGGTTGCAGTGAGCCACTGCGTTCCAGCCTGGATGATGGAGTAAGACTCCATCTCAAATAAATAAATAAAATAGAGATATTTTTATCTTTAAGAGTTGTTTTCAAAGTTAAATGAAGTCATGAATTGGCATAGCATTTGGTACAAAATAACAACAAAATCAGTGGAACCTGCAATCATTGTTTCTATTTTATTATTGAAAATATGAACATTAGCTCTGAGGGTCATATCCATAGTTTTTTTTTTTTAATTCCAATTTTTAATCATAAAATCTCATATAGCTCATCGTGACCATTTAAAAAATAATCTTAGAAGCTTAGTTGTATTTTTGTGTGTGTGTGTTTGCCGATTGAGATTTTAGAATTGGCTTGGCTTATGTGTGTCCCTGGCAGAATTATGATTCCTGTTTTGAATGTTCATTGCACCTTTGTTAGAAGTAGAATTACTTTACTTGAACTTTTTCAATGTGGCAAAAAAAAAAATCATTCATATTTATATTATCTCTTTGAGAAGTGATTTTTTTTTCCATTTATTTTATTGCATTTTAGGTTTTGGAGTACATGTGAAGAACATGCAAGATTGTTGCATAGGTACACACGTGGCAGTGTGATTTGCTGCCTTCCTCCCCATCACCTACATCTGGCATCTCTCCCCTTGCTTTCTCTCCCCAACTCCCCACACCCCACCGTCCCTCCCTTATTTTCCCCCAACAGACCCCAGTGTGTAGTGCTCCCCTCCCTGTGTCCATGTGTTCTCATTGTTCAACACCCGCCTATGAGTGAGAACATGTGGTGTTTGATCTTCTGCTCTTCTGTCAGTTGCTGAGAATGATGGCTTTTTTTACTATTGAACTATAAATGCAGTTAAAATGTAGGTGAACATTTCAGAAAGAAAGTAGTGATTTTTGTTAATTAAAGAAATTAATTTTCCAAAACATCAGTTGCTACAGAGAGATTTTTAGGGATTATTATCTACATAATCTCAGGAAAAAATAATTTAGGAATTTTAAGTTTCATTCATCTTTGAGATTTCATATTTGGGATTAAGCCAGTCTCCTGAAATTCTATTTAAACTTAGTCTATGTATATGTCTTTTTCAGGAAAAGGTTCATAACACCATCAGACCCTCAAAGAGATTCTTAACTTACACATTAAGGAAGGTAACATCTCTGTCTAGGGGTCACCAGTCTCTCAAGCCAGTTATATTGTTGCTACTTAAATAAACAAAACTGTTTTTAATTTCTGCTCTTATGAAATTTACTAGGTTGTGTTTGAAGTGAAAACTGAGTATTTGATGGTGGTGGATTATAATAACTATAGTAGAAAGTGTAAAATGTACACAATTTCATCATGATATATGGTTTCTAAACACATTTATATATTTGTGTATGTATATATTTAATTTATTCACACAACAGATATTTGCATATCTTGCCTGAGCCATGCATTTGTAAGGCAGGGGGTGTGGGTTCTTTCTGGTGAATGGGTGTTACACCCTGACCCCCTTTTTACTGTTGAAGAGAAAGAAGCTGGGTGAAGAGGTAGCTTGCCCCAGACCATACCGGTAGAAGGTAGTCCAGAGTAGATTCAGGCGTAACTCTTTTGAACCAAATTGTGTTCTTTAGACTGCAACATGCTTTCTGTTGCTTAGCATACAATTATTACCCATACATTTTTATTTATTTTTCTTTTATGTGAATTTAAAATGTCATATTTGTTCTGCTTCCATTATTGCAGTTTTGAACGATGATTCATCAGTGCAGTGGCCTATTTTAGTGAACCACAATAGCTTGGGTAGAAAGAAAAAAGATCCAACATACTCAGGAATGGAAAGCAGCCATCTTTTTATAGCTAAAATTGCAAACATCTGGCAATTACTCTATCCTACCTCCCTTCGAAAAGGAAGACTCATCCCTTCAACTGGAGCCTGCCACTGTGTCTAATCAAGGCAGAATGCAAGCCTTAAGGAGCAACAGGTTTTGATTCAAGGAGGCCATTGCCTAACCCAGTTGGCCAGAGTGTCTTCAGAAAATATACCATTTAGGGACCCTCATATGCTACTGGGTTATATAATGACAATAATGGTAATATAGCGATTAATAACTGCAGAAATATTTAATTTTTCTGCTGTTTCATTTGTGGTAGCTCTTATCGTAGCTTTTATATTTTGACAGTTAATTATTTGGGTCAAGCTTGCCTCTCTCCCTCCTCATAAGCTTCTTGTATTCCTTAACAAAAGATTCAACCACATCAATGCAACCAATAATTGCCAACTCCATTTTATTATAAACATGTCCAGTAAAATGTCGAAGGAACAAATACATTTCTTTTTAAAGCCTGGCAGTGACCGTATAGTCAAAAAGCGGTCCACTGAAGTTACGGCTTTTAAGTACCCCACCCGTATTTCTTATTGTGATAATTGTTTGTGAAACTAGTTCTTCCCTCCCTGGCCAAAGTCAACACTGTTGGCAGGGGAAGTGAGAATGGCTGGTGGTTCACAATACATGCTGAGAATCAGAACTTCTGCATTTTTCTCATGGGGCTGGTACCAGCTTTTGTTCTGGCCTTGACCAATGCATGTACCTTTCCCTTCCCCATTTACCTTTCTCTTCCTCTGGGTCTCTGAAGAGTAGAGGTGGACCTTTCCCTTCCCAGCTTGTGCCAACATTATTACCACTGATCCTTTTGTTGTAGAATATCTTGATCAGTAATCATCAGTAATTGCTAAGTAACAGAAAATCAAGGTTCAGTAGCACGGTTTTCAAAAACAACCTCAAATACTATAAATAGTCTGTTTTCTAATGTTAGCAGATATGGTACTTGGAAATCATCGGCATTCAGTAGGGGGCCTTTGAGCTTATTTTAAATGCCTGCTTTTGCTTTTATGTCTTTGCTAGAACTGTATTCAATACCCAAAGACACAGCTTTTTCTTTGATATAGTAATTTTTCTAGCCTGTCTCTCCTGCCAGTCTTCCCAAAATCCCAGTGAATTTTGCAAACATCTCATTAAACTAAATGCAATTATGGAAGAGATGAGATTGTGACTAGGGAGTTTTCTGGTTTTTACAATAAGAATAAGAAAAAAGAAAAAGAACAGGAGCTCCTAACATCTTTAAATGCATACCTTGTGCAATATAGCTATTCCATGCAAAGCTACGTAGTATAACGATCTCTGGAATCTCAAATGAGTGTGCTTCCTTTCTCTGTTTTTATCCAGTTAGACAGTTCTAGTCTTTCTCCCTCATGTGCACATCTTTGAATTCAGCTACTGTAGTATAGCAAGTGTTCTAACTTATATGCTTTTCCAGGTGGCCCTGCTAATATAGAAAAGGTTATAGTAATATTCTTTATCATAGTTTTCTCTGTTTTCTTTTTTATGGTGTTTTCTTGTGTAATTTTTTTAAAAATTATACTCTTAAGTTCTGGGATACATGTGCAGAATGTGCAGGTTTGTTACATAGGTATACACGCGCCATGGTGGTTTGCTGCACCATCAACCCGTCACCTACATTAGGTATTTCTCATAATGCTTTCCCTCCTCCAGGCTCCCACCTTCCAACAGGCCCAGTGTGTGATGTTCCCCGCTCTGTGTCCATGTGTTCTCATTGTTTAACTCCTACATATGAGTGAGAGAGAACATGTGGTGTTTGGTTTTCTGTTCCTGCATTAGCGTGCTGAGAATGATGGTTTCTGGATTCATCTGTGTCCCTGCAAAGGATGTGAACTCATCCATTTTTATGGCTGCATATTATTCCATGGTGTATATGTGTCACATTTTCTTTATCCAGCCTAAAACTGATGGACATTTGGATTGGTTCCAAGACCTTGCTGTTGTGAACGGTGCTGCGAAAAACATACATGTGCATGTGTCCTTATAGTAGAATGATTTATAACCCTTTGAGTATATACCCAGTAATGGGATTGCTGGGTTAAATGATATTTCTGGTTCTAGATCCTTGAGGAATCACCACACTGTCTTTTACAATGGTTGAACTAATTGACACTCCTACCAATAGTGTAAAAGCATTCCTATCTCCCCACATCCTCTCCAGCATCTGTTGTTTTCTGATTTTTTAATGATCGCCATTCTAACTGGCATGAGATGATATCTCAATGTGGTTTTGATTTGCATTTCTCTAATGATCAGTGATGATGAGCTTTTTTTCATAAGTTTGTTGGCTGCATAAATGTCTTCTTTGAGAAGTATCTGTTCATATCCTTCACCCACTTTTTGATGTTTTTTTTTTTTCTTGTAAATTTGTTTATGTTCCTTATGGATTCTGGATATTAGCCCTTTGTCAGATGGATAGATTGCAAAAATTTTCTCCCGTTCTGTAGGTTGTCTGTTAACTCTGATGATAGTTTCTTTTGCTGTGCAGAAGAGCTTTAGTTGAATTAGATCCCATTTGCCAATTTTGGCTTTTGTTGCCATTGCTTTTGGTGTTTTAGCCATGAAGTCTTTGCCCATGCCTGTGTCCTGAATGGTATTGCCTAGGTTTTCTTCTAGGGTTTTTATGGCTTTAGGTCTCACATTTAAGTCTTTAATTCATCTTTAGTTAATTTTTGTATAAAGTGTAAGGAAGTGGTCCAGTTTCAGTTTTCTGCATATGGCTAGTCAATTTTCCCAACACTATTTATTGAACAGGGAATCCTTTCCCCATTGCTTGTTTTTGTCAGGTTTGTCAAAGATCAGATGGTTGTAGGTGTGTGATGTTATTTCTGAGGCCTCTGTTCTGTTCCCTTGGTCTATATATCTGTTTTGGTACCAGTACCATGCTGTTTTGGTTACTGCAGCCTTGTAGTATAGTCTGAAGTCAGGTAACATGATGCCTCCAGCTTTGTTCTTCTTGCTTAGGATTGTCTTGGCTATATGGGCTCTTTTTTGGTTTTATATAAAATTTAAAGTAGTTTTTTTCTAATTCTGTGAAGAAAGCCAATGTCGATGGTAGCTTAATGGGGATAGCATTGCATCTATAAATTACTTTGGGCAGTGTGGCCATTTTCACAATATGGATTCTTCCCATCCATGAGCATGGAATGTTTTTCCATTTGTTTGTGTCTTCTCTTATTTCTGTGAGCAGCGGTTTGTAGTTTTCCTTGAAGAGCTTCTTCACATTTCTTGTAAGTTGTATTCCTAGGCATTTTGTTCTCTTTTTAGCAATTGTGAATGGGAGTTAACTCATGATTTGGCTCTCCATTTGCCTATTACTGATGTATAAGAATGCTTGTGATTTTTACACATTGATTTTTCATTCCTGAGACTTTGATGAAGTTGCTTATCAGCTTAAGGAGATTTTGGGCTGAGATGATGGGGTTTTCTAAATATACCATCATGTCATCTGCAGAGATAATTTGACTTCCTCTCTTGCAATTTGAATCCCCTTTCTTTCTTTCTCTTGCCTGATTGCCTGGGCCATAACTTCCAATACTATGTTGAATATGAGTGGTGAGGGAGGACATCCTTGTCTTGTTGCGGTTTTCCAAGGGAATGCTTCTAGCTTGTGCCCATTTAGTGTGATATTGGCTATGGGTTTGTCATAAATAGCTCTTATTATTTTGAAATACGTTACATCAATGCCTAGTTTATTGAGAGTATTTAGCATGAAGGGGTGTTGAATTTTATTGAAGGCCCTTTCTGTGTCTATTGAGATAATCTAGTGGTTTTTGTCATTGGTTTTGTTTATGTGATGGATTATGTTTATTGATTTGCATATGTTGAACCAGCGTTGCATCCCAGGGATGAAGCTAAGTTGATCGTGGTGGATAAGCTTTTTGATGTGCTGCTGGATTCAGTTTGCCAGTATTTTATTAAGAATTTTTGCATGAGTGTTCATCAGGGATATTGGCCTGAAATTTTCCTTTTTTGTTGCATCTCTGCCAGGTTTTGGTATCAGGATGATGCTGGCCTCATACAATGAGTTAAGGAGGAGTCCTTCTTTTTCCGTTGTTTGGAATCATTTCAGAAGGAATGGTACCAGCTCCTCTTTGTACCTCTGGTAGAAATCAGCTGTGAATTCGTTTGGTCCTGGGCTTTCTTTGGTTGGTAGGGTATTAATTACTGCCTCAATTTCAGAACTTATTATTGGCCTATTCAGGGATTGGACTTCTTCCTGGTTTAGTCTTGGGAGGTGTACGTGTCCAGGAATTTATCCATTTCTTCTAGATTTTCTAGTTTATTTAGATGTGTTCATAGTATTCTCTGATGGTAGTTTGTATTTCAGTGAGATCAGTGGTAATATCCCCTTTATCCTGTTTTGTTGTGTCTGTTTGATTCTTCTCTCTTTTCTTCTCTGTTATTCTCACCAGTGGTCTATTTATTTTGTTAATCTTTTTTAAAAAACCAGCTCCTGAAGAGTACTATAAGGACACATGCACACGAATGTTCATTGTAGCACTGTTTACAATAGCAAAGACCTGGAACCAACCCAAATGCCCGTCGACGATAGACTGGATAGGGAAAATGTGGCACATATACACCATGGAATATTATGCAGCCATCAAAAACGATGAGTTTGTGTCCTTTGTAGGGACATGGATGAACCTGGAAACCATCATTCTCAGCAAACTGACAGAAGAGCAGAAGATCAAACACTGCATGTTCTCACTCATAGGCGGGTGTTGAACAATGAGAACACATGGACACAGGGAGGGGAGCACTATACACTGGGGTCAGTTGGGGGGAAATAGGGGAGGGACGGTGGCGGGTAGGGAGCTGGGGAGAGATAGAAAGGGGAGAAATGCCAGATGTAGGTGATGGGGAGGAAGGCAGCAAATCACACTGCCACGTTTGTACCTATGCAACAATTTTGCATGTTCTTCACATGTACCCCAAAACCTAAAATGCAATAAAATAAATAAATGGGGAGAAAAAAACCCAGCTCCTGAATTCATTGATTTTTTTTTGAAGGGTTTTTCCCTTTTTTAAGGAGTTTTCATGTATCTATCTTATTCAGTTCTATTCTGATCTTGGTTGATTTTTTTGTCTTCTTCTAACTTCTGTATTTGTTTTCTCTTGTTTCTCTAGTTCTTTTAATTGTGATGTTAGGGTGTCAATTTTAGGTCTTCCCTATTTTCTGATATGGGCATTTAGTGCTATCAATTTTCCTGTAAACACTGTGTAGCTGGGTCCCAGAGATTCTGGTATATTGTGTCTTTGTTCTCATTGGTTTTAAAAAATTTATTTCTGCCTTAATTTCATTATTTACCCAGTAGTCATTCAGGAGCAGTTTGCTGTATTTCCTTGTAGTTGTACAGTTTTGTGTGAGTTTCTTACCCTGAGTTCTAATTTGATTGCACTGTTGTCTGAGAGACCGTTTGTTGTGATTTCCATTCTTTCGCATTT